CTCGTTAGCCGGGATAATGATGTTGATTCGGTCCGACTTCTCTCGTGTGCTCACCGAATGAGAAAAAATAAAAACGAAATAAAATCTGATCAATATTAATTACCTTCCTCTTTGTGCGTGTGAAAGCTAGCCTCGTCTCTCTTACTAATATGTATGTAAATATTTTATTTCAGCTGACGATGGCAACGGGATCATCGAGCTGGTGGCCACAGTCGCGTCCGTCGTGCTGCTCGTCATCACGCTGCCCTTTTCGCTACTCTTTACATTCAAGGTAACATTTTGTTCGTGCTGGCCAGGCTTGTTTCAGGTTTTATTTTAATATTCCATCCCCAGGACTCCGCCATTTTTCTTTTGTTAGTTTGCGGGTATTTTTCGTGGCATCCTCAACAAAATCTCGGCTTAGAGGGGGGAAAGAGGGATGAGATGAGGGGGTGTCTTCTGTGCGGTCCCCTGATGACTGGGATTCTTTAAGCAGTCTCATCCTCATTTTCCACTTCACAGCAGTGCCAAAAGCAGGCTGCGTGGCTGGTACGCCCCGCCCCCCTCACTTTTCCGCCCTTCACGCTGGCAACCCAGGCTAAGTATTAATCTCGGGTGCCCCTACTTACGCTAAGGTTGTGTAGTTGGAGAGGGTACTTTTACGAAGACGGCAGGTCGCTACCCAGCCAGGTATGTTTCCCAGGCCCAGTGAACACGCCCTCCTTTGTCTGTCGCAGGTGGTGCAGGAGTTCGAGCGCGCCGTCATCTTCAGGCTGGGCCGCCTGCGCGCTGGGGGCGCCAGGGGCCCGGGGGTCTTCTTCGTGCTGCCTTGCATCGACACCTACTGCAAGGTGGACCTGCGGACGGTCAGCTTCGACGTGCCTCCACAGGAGGTAAGTTTCGCCCTACTGGCGCTCCAACTAAACCAGTTTACAAATTAATGAAAAAAAAATAATCCGCCCAAAAAGTGCAGCGCGATCACTCTGTCTACTATCGTAACCAAGAGAGGAGAATATACCTCACTCAGCAAGCGTGCGGCAGAGATGGTCTACCGTACGCAAAAATAAATAGAAGAGCCCCTCGCGAAGTTTCTTTGCAGGACACTGACTTCTTTCACTGAATTCTCTCGCTCCATGCTCCGTGCGGTTGCGGACAATATGTAAAAACTTTTGAAAACAGGTGTTGTCGCGAGACTCTGTCACGGTGCACGTGGACGCCGTGGTGTTCTACCGAGTGGACTGCCCCATCCTAGCCACCAACAACGTGCATGATTACAGGTGACCCTCCGGGCCCCGCTCTCTCTCTGTGAGCAGCCGCCCGTGCGCACGCGTCCTGGAGGCTCGCCTCGCTGCGCGCTTTCCCTCCGACGCGGCACGCGGGCGGTCTCTCGGGGCTTCCTGACCGTAGACAAGCACAGCATTGCCTGACAAGTAGAAGGCAGCCGTAGACGGCTCCGGGCGGGAGACAACTCTTAGCGCTGCAGTCCCACGAGACAGTGACTGCACCCCCCTTCCCAACTCCAGAGTCCTGAGTCGTGTAGTCAGCCCCCC